TTATTGTGTAGGAAATTCTGGTACAAGACCTAACTAGTGAGAGCACATAGGTTTTCAAAACAAAACATCTGGCAGTACTGGGAAAAGTCATTTTCCTCCAGTCCTATATAATATCTGGATTGCTCTGTACAAGCCAAGTGATCCATAGTAATATTGAAGTGAGAGAGTAGAGGGTTGTATTTAGGTTGTGATCTTTTCCCAAAGACTAATAAGGGCTTGGTCTCCTGAACCAATGGTCTAGATCAAAGAGGGCATCCATCTACTATTTCAACTACCACTGAGGCAATACAAGATCTCTAGTGTATATAGCCTCTTCGGACATGTACGGAGTTCATAAAGTTACTATTCAAACCCACCATAGTTGAAATGGACAGCAACCAAGAAGGGGAATATGTAGGAGTTTTATTTTAAGGGTCAGAAAGAAGTAAGTAATGGAACAAGTGATGAGGTTTGGTTGATATAGGAACGGGAGGTGATAGTGGGTTCTGCTTTTAAATTACTCAATTTATCAGGCAGACAAGTTTGAGGATGTCTTCTTGTCTGGGTGGAACACTGTGACAGGGAAATACAGGTAAACTTAAGTCTTTTTATTCTCTGAATTGCACCAGCTACACCAGTTCTTCTCCACCCCCTCCCCCCAAAAATGGGCTGTGATTAGAAGTAACACTTGATGTGTACATAAGGCTCCATGAAAGGAAGCAGGTCATTAGCCATGTCTACCTGACCTAATTCATTACAAATGAGAGTGGCCAAGCCATCCAAAATGGATCTACCACAGTAGAAGTATTTCATGCCAAATCTTTTTGACTTAGGGTCCAGAAGGAACTGGCCTATTCTATCTAGGTCTCTTTTACCAGTTGTGGCTGATAAATTTGCTCATTAGTAAGCTTGGCTCTAACAGGGGAATCTCTGTGAGCTCTTGAAAAAGTCTTTTCTCTCTTGTTTAATAGGGCATATTATCTGTGAGGCTGAGGTAGCCTAGAATATAATCTGGTCAGTCAGGCAGGCCCCCAGCGCCCATCTGGTTCAGGATATTGAGAATCCCAAAGGAGAAAGTCTACAAACAACTTGCTCTTGGCAACCCTGGAAAGTTTGTGGCACTCGCGATGTGAAGATGGAGCCTGGGCCTTCCCATACCCCTGCCCCACTCTCTCTACTGCTTACAAGCCAGGAATCTGTGGCCTCTGGAGGTCTTAAATGTCTTTTAAGGCACCAGGGCTAACTTTCCAGAGGCCTGCTGTTAGAGCTCTCTACTCTCAGGAGCTGGCGTTATGGTGAATAACTCTGCTGTTGTAGCTGCAACTTATCTGTTCTGGGACGATAATGTCACGTCTGACTCAAGACCCACCTGAGCAGAAGCAGCAGCATGTGAGGAAGGCAGGCCTGGTCTTTAAAAAACAACAACAACAACAACAACAACAAAAAAGACAAAAAAAACAAAACAAAACACTAGGCTAGTTTAGCTATGTCTCTCTGTGGAAAACAAATTTAAAAGGGATTAGATGGGCAAGTCAAGTGGATAAGCAAGTTGCCAGAGCTCAAAATTGAGGAAGCCTAGAGGTTATTAAGATACCAAAATGAAGAAAGTTCCAGGCAGCTGTTTCTTTGCCTCAATCAACCTGTTTTCCTTAAGCTTAGGTCTTCTTTTGCAGCTACCTGTGAGACTCCCTCCTCGCCCTCCCCATCAGTCTGCTTCTTATTAAGTGGCCCCCACTGAGCTTTATCTCCACGTAACCTAGTTCTACCTTTCAAAACGACTGCTATCTCAAGTGAAAAGATCCCAAGCCAAATTCACTGTCTTCTTTCAAAAACCAGCCCCTAATTCTACCAATAGCATTACTCCTCTCCAGAGTCAGTGTAAACGTAAAACATGAGAATCACCTTTGACTTGTCCTCTCCAGGGTTCCAACACCAGTCTCCAAATCCCATGCCTCATTCCTCTACTTTCTGCCCACACTTCAGTTCAAAGCTTCACTAACAAAACATTCTGTGACTCTCTACTGGCTCTGGAAGAAAAAACAAACCTCTCAGTGGGTCACTTGAGGCCCTCCCAACCTGCTTCCTATATACTTTGACAGCCTTATTTCATACCACTGCCCTCATGGGGTCTCTGTTCCAGCCAATCTATACTACTCATTGCTCCCTGAACCTGAGACTCCAGCTCTCCCGTCCAAGTGAAAGGACTTGCCTGCTCCCTTCTCATTTTGGCTTTTTAGAGTCTTTACCTTCTTTCGAGGCCTGGCTCAGGTACCACCTCTTCCATGAAGACCTCCCAGATTCTCCAATTTGGTAGTGTTCTCTCCTTCGTAAATAAGCTTCCAATCTTTCAAGCATTTATTAAGTGTCCACATATGACCTATATCCATCCCATAGCACACTCAGCAGAAAGCAAGCTTCTCAAGGTCAACACTGGTTTTCTACTGCGTGCGAATCCTCATCATCTAGCACAGGCCTTAGAGTAATGTAAAAATGTTGGTTGTTGAACTGGAGGGATAATCTCTCTGTTTACCGCCTTGCACAGACAACATCTGGAGGACTACGTTCCATTCTGAATGCCCTGTGTTAGGAACTAACTCGACAAGCAGAGGGTGACCAAAAATGATGCAAGCACTCAAAATGATTTGAGAAGAGCAGCAAATGAAACAAAGTGGGACGTTCAGTCTGGAGATCGGACCAGTGAGGGGCATACGAGCTGTGTCTGAAGGGTCTGACACATCGAAGAAGGACTAAAATGATTTCCTTTGCCTCCAGAAGGCAGAAGTGGGAGCAATGGGGGGAGGTTAATAAAAGCTGGATGAGTTTCCTATCAGGAAAAACTGCTTCGACAATTAGAGCTACACAAAAGTGGACTGAGATGCTTGTGAGAAAGGTCTCGAAATGGGAGCGAGGCAACCCCATAGTAGGCATGTTATAGGGGGAATGCCCCCTCAGGTACAGACAGGAATAAATGCTCAGGGAGCTTCTTCCAAGCCCGAGAGTTTGAGTCCTTTACTTACTGCGTCCACTGTTCCCTCCAGGCCCTTAACTACCTTACAACGGATTACCATATATAACCTCCAAATGAAAGGCTTCTTAACCTTTTTGATGCACCGGACTTCCACAGGATAACATACATAGGATTACAAAATTATAAATGAAGCTAATTACATGAATTATGTGTATATATGACTTTCCTAAATATTCTATCCCCTGCTCACCCTCTCTTCTAATCCATCTAGAACCTTTACTGAGTATGCATTTACAGATCAGATACATAATTAATATTTTAGGATATAAAACTTTCTAGGACAAACAAGTATTTGCAAAGTTAGAGGAAAACATTATTGGCAATCCTAGATAAAAAGATATAAAGCACAGTTGTCCATGAATTATTCCAAAAAGCTAAGCCATCTATCTCTCTGAAAAATCACTGTCATTAGAAAGCAGAATTACATATATTGCTCTTTTGTGTTTAGTTAATAAAGCATTTTAATGATCACATTTATTATACTGATCTATATTGAAAAGGTGACGCATATCTTTTCGTGACCTTTAACGAACTATTCATATACTTGAATTCTACGACATCGTAAAAGAATGAAAGGGCCTCTAATAAGTCAGGTGACACACTCTTACTTCCAGTCTGGAAAACTGTGCCTGCTGTGCTAAGGAAGCCCTGTTCAGTTATCCCACAGAGATCTATTCTCACCACTTCTCAGTTTCATCTACAATTATTCTGAAACTATTAAATAAAGCATGAGAGAGTTTTCATGATGGTGTGAGAATGCTCATTTGGTTCTGTAACAAGATCGATATGAAGGAGAAGTATAATGAATAAAAAAGCAGATGAACTAAGAGGGTTCCCCTACCCCAATGCAATATGTTTTCTCAATCACATTCTAAATGATAACTACAAAAATGAATATATTCTAACTGTGGGAGGCTCAGGATAAAGGGCTTTCTTGAAAGTCTAGACATCTGCCAAAGAAGCATCTTCCCAAGATTACTTCCTATGTTTGTCTCTTATCCGTAGCAATTATTCCAGATGTCAAATGTCCATCAGATTTCAGGGATAAAATTTGAAAAATGTATCATTAGTTCCTATAACTGAAAAAAGAAATTAAATGTCTTATTTCTTCTACTAAAAAAAGGAGGGAGGGCGCAAAACAAAACCTGGGAAAAATAGGGGAAAAAAATCTAATTAGTTGTAAAGTATAGATAATACTTTGGAGTTCAATCTTGATAGGAAAGAAGGCAGCACTGCCTAGTAGTAAGAGCAAGGATTTTAAATTGAAAGACCTGAATTGGAATTCCTCCTCTTCAAATTGCTATATGACTGAGTTAGCTAGCTAACATTTATAGAGTATTTATTATGTGTCACGAACCGTGTTAAGTGCTTTACACATTATCTCATCTGATCCTTGTAACAACCCTGGGAGGTAGGTGCTATTATTCTTATTCTCAATTTCCAGTTGAGGAAACTGAGGCAAAAAGAAATTGACTTGCCCAAGGTCACACAGCTGCAGGTCTTCCTGATTCAAGGCCTCAGGCTCTATGCACATGACACCCCCTCATGACTCCACCCTGGACTATAAGTAAATCCCTTCACTTCTCTAGGTCCAAATCTCCCTCCAATTCTAAATCCTATAATTTCATGAATAGAATTCTAATATTTAAATTAATGCAATACAAAGCCAGAAACATGTATGAGAATCCATGGTCCTTCATTTCCTTCTCTTCTTAATCGCAATTCCCTTTCAGTTTTTATCTGAAATTTTTATTTAAAAAGTAGGAGCCCAAAACCATTTGTTGTGCGGTCATTCTAAGCTATACATTTCAATAAAGAAATTTTATCTTAAACTTTCTTTAAGTCATCCCATCTCCCTGGTTACAAAGAAAGGTTGCTAATGAAACAAGTCATTATGAAAAGATGAACATCATGGGTTCTTTATAACACTGCCTGAAGAAGCAGCTCTTCAGTGCCCAAGATACTTCATCCCATCACCCCAGTTCCTTCTTACCATGGTCAAGGATTATTAGCTGGGCTCCAGCCTGTGAATTTCCAACATCATTCTCTGCAATGCACTGATAAAATCCTTCATCTGATTTCACCAGACCCAAAACCTGAAGGTTATGTTCCTTCTGAGAAATAAGAATAAAAACAATTTTATGATTTAATTATTGAACACTACTATAAGTATAAACAAAATGTCATCTAAATTTCATACTATAGAATGTCTTTTAAAACTCACTTTTAGCAAAAAGGAAAGCACAATATTTGTAACGTGAATCTGCATCTAAGCTCTGCATTCTTCCTGGGATGCACACAAGGAATACTCTTGGTTGTAGTTTTGTCTTTAGCAAAACAAGCATCAGTGTCATATGGCCATATTCAATGTCATTGGTTGCCTGACCTCAAGATTATTTAGTAGCAAAATCAAAATACTTTTCTGAAACACTCACTTTAAAACTGAACATAGCTCCCACACGTCAGAACACTATGGCATGTGGTGATTGGCAGGCAAAAATGTCACCACAGCCATCCAATAAAGAAAGAGATGAAAGAATGAGATGCTAATTCAGCTCTGACAGATGGATTTCCACTTAGTTTAATTTTTTGGGAGATGGTTTCCTATAACATGTTCTGTTGTGTATTTCACACTCATCATTTTAGGATATAGCCTGTGAGACACAATTAGGTATGTGATTACAAAGAAAAAAATGCCCCAACATTAAACCTTTAATGATATAATTTAGATTTCAAGTTATCACTAAGTATTTATGTAGATGCTTTTTACATGCATTAAGGTATTGTATTAACCTTCAGTACTAAGGCTTAAAGAATTCTGGCATGAGGGTACTCAGGAAAACCAAGAAATATGACTAGGATGATGGGGAGAAGCCAGGGCCATATGACTTTGGTAAGAACAAAGTCCACCCATGTTTTATTTTGAACTTCTTCCCCTAAAACTGGGCCTATTTGGGGCAGTACATTTGTGCAATACAATAATGATGATGGTGATGTTAATGACATTACTAAACATTTATATGGTGCTTTAAGGTTTAGCAAGCACATTATTCACGACAATACTGTGAGACAGGAATATAGATTTCTAAGATATGTTCCATTTTGGAAGACTTGAGATGAAAACTAAAAGTGAATTGAGAATATTAGCCCACCTCTCTCCTTAAAGAGTTTAATATATGTTTAAACAACAGAAGACATAAAAATGGCAGGAAAAGCATATAATAAATGATATAAATCAATACACTGAGGCTCAGAAAGGTAAAAGCAAGTTGACCAAAGGCATATGACTTTTAAAAGACAGAACTCGGATCTGAACTCATTGCAGTATGCTGTCTTCAACTAACATCTGAGAGCTCATTTTGCGTATGTGGATTTTGTTTCAATGGAACAAAGATGCTAACATTTTACAATTGCATAATGCATTATTGTTTTTCAAAGTACTTTCCAAAAGATGATGAGATGAGAGGGATTTTGGAAGTCATGTAGTCCAACCTCATCATCTAAACAGATGAGAAAACTAACGCCCAGAAAAGTGAAATACTTTGCCTGAGGCCATAAAGTTGTTATTTGTGCCACTATTGAAACCTGTGGAGTGAAAAGACCAGACTGCTGTGGAATAGATCAATCATTGACTCTCTAACTGGAGAATTGAAGGCCAAGGCATTGTGATGCTCTACGGAAACTGAGGCAGTGCGGCGTCACAGAGAGAGAGAGAGAGAGAGTCCTGGACAGCTGAGTCTTGGTCACATCCTGGTCACTGATTAGCTTCATGTCTCTGAGCAAATCATTTAGCTCCTCTGGGGACTCTACTTGAATCACCACCTGCAGTCCTCCCTGCTACTAATACCTGGACTCCAGCCTCAGTGTTTTTGGGTCTCATCTTTCTGGGGACCAGACCTCCAGGTCACTTCCTGGCCAGCTCTATGCCATCAGAATGTAGGCACCCTGAAGGCAGACACTGTCTGGCTTACTTAACTAGTATCCCAAGTGATTAGTTCAGTGCATAGGAGCATCAAGAATGTTCTCTGTCTCTCTCTCTCCCTCCCTCCCTCTCTCTCTGTGTCTAGGATTTTATATAAAAATTTCTAAGTCTTTAGTTATAGGCTAGAAATAGTCTTCATATGCATACACTGGAGAACTGGAAACAGCCTCTGAAAAGTACTTACTACAATCTTAAAGTAATCACTTGGGATAACCATGTCACCATTCTTGACCCATTTTACAGTTGGCATGGGTTTCCCAGTCACTTCACATTCAAACACAATATCCATGGATTCATGTGCATATATATTAGCAGGCTTCTTCAGGAATTCTGGTGAGGCTTTGAAAGAAAAAGGAAAAGAAGAAATTAATATAACCCAGAAGAGACAAACGTTGAGAATTCAGCCTACTGCTTAGAGACTGGGAATTTCCATATCTACTGTTTTACTTTACACTGGAGGGTTCCTGAAGCTAACTGATGAGAAGATAAATTGGCCCTAAACCAAAAACAAGAACAGATGCTGGGAATCAATAATACAAATAAAATAAATTATTTGGTACAATTAGAAAACTAATTTTGACTTACCAGGCCCTTTCTACATATTCACAGATAAAATTACTAGACTGAGAAAATAAAACAATAGAAACACTTTAAATGCTTTAACAATTTTAAGGAATATTGTTGTTGTTCAGTCGTTTCAGTCGTGCCTGATTCTCCATGACCCTATGGACTTCTGTGCATGGGGTTTTCTTGGCAAACATGCTGGAGTGATTGCCATTTCCTTCTCCAGTGACAGAGGTTAAGTGACTTGCCCAAGGTCACACGGCAAGGAAGTTTCTGAGGCTATATTTGAACTCAGGTCTTCCCACCTCCAAGCTCAGCACTCTTTAAATCATATCACATTAGGAAAACTTGTAATGTTGTTGTCATTCAGTATTTCAGTCGAGTCCAACTCTTTGTGACCCTATTTGGGGTTTTCCTGGCAAAGATACTGGAGCGGTTTGCCATTTTACAGATGAGGAAACAGAGGCAAACAGGGTTAAGGGACTGGTCCAGGGTCACACAGCTAGTAAATATCTGAGGACAGATTTGAACTCAGTTCTATGCACTGTACCACCTAGCTGCCCAAAGCTTCTAATACTAAAATGGAATTGAAAATAGCCTCATTTTTTCACCTCAAACAATTTCATGTTTTTGGAAACAAGATGGCTACATGGCATGAAAGGAATATACAACACACTGCACAAAGTAGTCTGCTGACACTTAGTGATGAAGCTTAGTGCCGAAGCTTAGTGCCATGGAGGGCTCTTTCATCCAGCCTGGATGTCCCTTCTAGATCACTCCTGGCAGTCAATGGAGCATTTTGTGAGAGTATAAGATGTACATACTACTTTTTCAAAAATACATAATAAATTCACCATGCTAGTTTTAATGCTGCCAGGCTTGTCTTTTTTCTTCTAAACTACTTTTTGCTCTCTTCCATGTATTTTTAAAAATGCTTCATTTACTCTTTTCTCTTTTTATTTTTTTTTTTGGCAAATTATCCTCTCTCCTACAAGGGAAAAAACAGACAATCAAAAATGTTTCCCTTCAAATAACACAAATCCATATATTGGTCACGTTTGAAAATGTGTCAGGCTGCATCGAGTCCATTCTATCTGTGTTAAAAAGTAGAAAGTTTACTTCATCAATCCTCCAGAACAGTGACTAGTCATTGCACAGTTCAATATTTTTAAGCCTTTCAAAGTCATTTTTCTTTACCATATAATAGCTACTGTAGTATAAATTATTCTCCTAGAAGTCCTCAGTTCACCCAAGTCTTCCCAGATTTCTCTTAACCCTTCCCTTTAGTCATTTCTTACATCACAATAATTTTCTATTATATCCAAATACCATAGTTTGTTTAGCTATTCCTCAACTGAGAGACATTCTCTTAAAAGCACTTGGCACAGTGCCTGGCACATAGCAGGTAGTATAAAAATCCTGGCCATAATCATCATCATCACTACTACCATAAAAAGCACAGTTATGAATATTTTTGTACATGTAAGTCATAAGACCACAAGAGCTGGAAAGAATTTCAGGCCATCTAGAGAAATGATTTACCCAAAGTCACAGGATGGTACTTGGCAGACGCAGGATTTAAATGGGAAGTCCCCTTACTGACAATCCCCTTCTCTGTCTCCTACACCTCCTTTACTTGATCTCCTCGGGGTCCATGCCAAGGAGCAGTGACCCTGCTGAAAGGGGAGATACAGTGTGATGGCATTCTGAGTAGAGTTCCAAATTGCGTTCCAGAACGCTAGGTTAATATGACATTGGTCATTTTCCTTTTCTGTCTTCTTTGCTAATCTGAGGTAGAACCTCAATTTTTAATTTGCATTTCTCTTAGGGCCACTGACAGCGTAATTTTCTTCTTTTGAGAAATGCCTCTTCATAAACTCAAACCATTCCGACATAAAAAGACTGCTGAGTGAGCATGGAGAAAGAAGCCTAGGGAGTCAGCAGTTGAGCTCAAAGAGAATCCTAATGGCTCGCATTCAGACAGCACTTACTGTGCACCAGGCACTGTGCTATGTGCATTATGAGTGCAGAGAGGCCCATTTTACAGGCGCTGGTTTTCTCTATCCCTCGTTTGGTCAAGCACTAGTCCCTTTCCCACTGCTGCAGAATGTTTCTCCTCCCTGCTCTTCTATGAGGTTTATGATGTTGGAACTTTTCATTCGGAGGCAGGTCAGCTGCACAGCAAAGAAAGTGCTGGATCTGCAGTCTGAAAGATTTATTTCTAATCTTGCTTCAGATCCTTGTGGGCCAGGTGTTTTCTAGGTGTGTGACCCTGGGCAAGACTCTTAACTCTGCACAGCTTCTGTTTCCACATCTGTAAAAATGGGGCTAATGATAGCCCCGATCTCACTGGGTCACTGTGACAATCAAATGAGAGCACCTGATTAAAGCACCCTGTAAGCCTAAGAAGTAAGTGAATGCTAGCTCTTCTTAGCCCCATTTTACAGATGGAAAAACAAAAAGCTGAGAGAGACTGAGTGAGTGCCCAGGGTCACCTGTTAACTGTAGTGCATCTTTTTAAAATTAAAGCACTTGGGAGCTACTGGTTAAAGGAAGGAAACCCATAACTAACACTGTCTTTCAAATTCAAACAAAATATTATTTACATACTGTTAGTACCTTATAGGGTCAGGGCTACAGTCCTGTGACCCTGAAACAAGAGTAAAGTAAGTGGGACACTGAGTTTGAACCCATAACAATGGTCTCAGCACTTAATCCAATTGTAGAGAACAAGGACACTCCTTAATGTTCATCTAAAACGACTTACCAAATTTTTTACTGGGATCCTCCCACCGTGTATTTGAAATATAAACCAATTCTTAAACTTCAATCAATGGAGCAGGGATTCAATAACTGTTAGCAATTCATCCAATGGTAACTGATCTCAAGCCTGCCCCACGTTCTCATCCTGTAATTCTTGTCCATGTCCTTCCATAAATGCTCCAAAGAGGACTACCTCAAAAACGTTCCCAAGTTGTGGTTACTGGATACAAACGGGGTGCTCAGGCTGTACTACTGTTTGTTCTTACTATATGACCAGTCCATCTGCCTTGCTGATCTTCCATTTCTTTTATGTTCTTTTATGCTACTTGTATGCTAATCACCATTTCTTAATACACTGTAACCTACATAAACCTACAATATGTCTCTTCATTGCCCTTTGCAAGATCTATAATTGCAATCTTCAGAAATTGTAGCATTCCATGATTTTCATACAAATGGCATTAATGGAAGAATACCAGTGTTTTTTGTGTGCAGAAGCAGCCTGGAATAACTGAAAGCACTGCATAATTTCCCAAATGCAGTACAGCCTGGTCTTTTCTTTCTCTTTGATTCTAGGTCAAATGGGACTTATTTCATCTAAAAAATATCTGATATACCAATGTCTGAAACATTTTTTAAAGTTTTATTACAAAAACTTTTCACTTCAAAAGAGATTCATCTGATAATATTTGCATAAACAAACTCAATGGCAGTTATTGAAAGAATCCACTGATCAACATACATTCATCGCTCTGCTTTTCAAAGATAGATTAGAAGACCAATCGCTTTTGAATGTTCATGAATCTCATTGAGGAGGCTCTGTAGTAATCTGGGGTTTGATGTAATCAGCATGTCCTCAACAAATGGGCATCTGGAAGATTCCCTATAAAGAATTCTTCTGTGTAGACTCTGCATGACATATGCTCCATCAAAGTCATGAACACCTCTAGTGAATTTGTATCTTTATGTTTCATGTCTTACTTCACACTGATAGCAGAAGACAATTTCTATCCATTACCTTCTGGGTAATCAGTTCTCATGCTTATATTGCAGCAAAATACAGCTTTAAAGGCTGTCCAAAATAGTTTCTTTCATGTACATGTTAAGCTCATATAATACCAATAGTAATTTTGATAAAGAGCTTTTGCTCTCTCAGAAAAACTCAACTCTAAACCAATACAGTAATTCACTGCTTCTTTTCAGGCTGTAGTCAACTACAACAGTACAGCATAAAATGCTATCAGGCTAATTCAATGACTCATAAAAATGATTGGTTTTTTTTCTTATTTATTTTTAAATTAATTTCTTTATTTTTAGCTTTCAATATTCACTTCCATAAGATTTTGAGTTCCAAATTTTCTCCCCATCTCTCCCCTCCCCCCACCCCAGGATGGCATGCAATCTGATATAGGCTCTACATATACATTCTTATTGAACCAATTTTCACATTAGTCAGGTTGTAAAGAAGAATTAGAACCAATGGGAGAAACCATGAGAAAGAAGAAACAAAAAAAAAAGAGAGAGATCAAATAATGTGCTTCGATCTGCATTCAGACTCCATAGTTCTTTTTCTGGATGTGGACAGCATTTTTTCATCGTGAGTCCTTTGGAGCTGTCTTGGATCCTTGTATTGCTGAGAGTAGATGAGTCTGTCAAAGTCAGTCATCGCACATTGTGGCTGTTACTGTGTACAATGTTCTCCTGGTTCTATTCACTTCACTCAGCATCAGTTCATTTAAGTCTTTCCAGGTTGTTTCGAAGTCTGTCTGCTCATTTCTTATAGCACAATAGTATTCCATTTATATTCATATACCACAACGTGTTCAGCCATTCCCCCAACTGATGGGCATCCCCTCAATTTTCAATTCTTTGTCACCACAAAAAAGAGCTGCTACAAATATTTTTGTACATGCGAGTCCTTTTTTCATTTGTATGATCTCTTTGGGATACAGAGCTAGAAGTGGTCTTGCTGGGTCAAAGGGTATGCACATTTTTGCAGCCCTTTGGGCATA